CTAAGGAAACTTCCGGAAAGCTTGGAGCATTTATTGGGCATTTCACCCTGACGGTCTGGGGGGGAGGATGTCACTAGGAGGGGCACCCCAACTTTCAGTCAGAGCATCCTGTGTTGGGTACCAAGACTGGCTAGGTCTGTATCTCTAGTCATTTAGACCTTGTCTGTTGTGATGTCACAGTTTGTAAGGTAGCTGGGTGCTGAGTTCCCTCCTGACTTGAAATGCTAAAGCTTCACATAGAACGATCCATCTGCTCACGAATAAGTCAGAATTTATTTTTCCTCTTGGTTCCTGTAGTACTTACTGCCTGTGCTGTTCATTTGGCAACCGGCCCAGTGGCCTCATTGTAAGGTGTGTTCCCTGGCTAAATCCTGTTTCTACTTTTTTTGTGAGGGGAGGGGGTGTTCTTTACTTCTTGCCAACCAACCATAAATTTTTTCTCTCTCTGTTTTATCACCAGAAATGTAAGCATTTGGAGGCCAAAACATGTGTCAGCTGTGCTTTAAAGAAAGCAAATGGACTTTTCGGAACCCCCTGGGTCTGATTTCATCCAATGTGACTCCTGAATACTAACCTACACAGAAACTCTATAAACTTTCCTGGACATACAGAGAAAACATGGATTTAATTCACGTTCTGTTCAACTGCTTAACTTTGCAAAACTGATTTAGAAAATATGGTCTGAGAATTTTAAAGAAATTTCTCATGTCTGTATCTTGAGCTTGGATGGGGTTGGGGGAAACTGTGCACTGGCTATATTGAGCTGGACCCGGCAAATCTCATGGGAGATCTGCTCCGTGCTGGGCAGCGTCCAGGCTCTGAGAAATGAATGACAAGCAAGACTGATGTGGCCTGCAGTGTTGGAGCACGGGGGGCATGATACACTAGACTGTGAGTTAAAATAATAATTCAGCGTGCTTCCTGCACAACCAAAGTACCTACAAAGTGATGGGACGTCGCCTTCACCTAAAAGCCTGTACAAGGGGTGGAACCCCTGGATTTCATACTCAACCCTGCCCCCTACTGGCTGTGTGCTGACAGGCACATCACCTAGTACCTTTGTGTTTTAGTTTTTTTTTTTTCTGTAGAACAGGGTTCATAAAGCCTAGTGCACAGAGATTTTGTGAGGATTTATGTATTTACATCCATAAAATGCTTCAATGGTGCCTGGCACAGAGCAATCACTACATCAATCAAAGCACTGGTAAGCTTAAATCACACGACATTTTGACCCATACATTTCCCCCTCTCTTTCTAAATTCCTAGAAATTTCTTAAAGTGGTAAGTACCACCTCAATACAAAACTTGGTAAGGTATATATTGAAAACATAGAACATAAAAGCGAGAGACTTCTTAAATGTGTAGACAAATACCTGCAAATTGTTTTTTGGGTCAAAGCTGAGACATCATTATAAAATCAATGAGGACGTCAGGGTACATCCATGGTGGGAACATAAACCCCACAACACTGGACTCACCCAGCCCCTAGTCTTCCTCCCTGCCTTGCCTGTGGCAACAGCCATCTCCCTCTCCCCCAGGGAGCCAGAGAGGGCCAGGTCATCCCACCAAGACACCCTACAGGTCCAGGATGGCCTGCCAGTTTCTCAGGGGGCCTCTGTTTGGAACCTGAAAGATACATTTGGGGCTCCAGACCATGAAATGAAAACCCTTGCATAACTGAAATTTCACAAATTTATTAATGGTAACAGGTCAACTTCAACCAACTCTGGCCTCTTGATGACTGCAAGGAAAGAATACTCATTCATTAATCAAATATTTTAAAACAATTTAAAAGCTTAGCCCAGTGGGTTTGCAGAAAGCAGAGAGGAAAGGGGGGCCCCTAGACAAAACTAGGCTTCCCTGGTGGATTAGTCAGTAAAGAATCTGCCTGCAATGTAGGAGACCCGGGTTCAATCCCTGGGTTGGGAAGATCCCCTGGAGAAGGAAATGGCAATCCACTCCAGTACTTTTCCCTGGGGAAATCTCATGGATACGGGACAGAGGAGGCTGGTCCATGGGGTTGCAAGAGTCAGACACAACTTAGTGACTAGACCGCCACCAGAGAGAACTAAAGTGATTGCCAGTTTCGATAGAGTTCTGCCCACCGGGCTAGCTGGACATCTTTAAAAGGCTCATGTGTGGCTTCCCAAGAATGGAGGATCTATGATGGAGCTCTTGTTCTCCAGGGTAATCAGGTGTTTTCACTCTTCACCACTTCCAGGGAAAAATCCATCTTCTCCATTTGTAGAAGAACATTTTCTTTGGGCAAAGCTACCTGTTTTCGGGTCTTGTGGCAAGTTTCCAATCCAGTGCTGCAGAATCCACAATGTCACAACCAGGAGGACAAAAGGGTCCACGCAGCATTTTTACAGAAGGGGACCTGGGCGCTGAAAGAGGCCCCATCACCCGCACGGACACACGGCTGGTTCGTGGCAAACCTGGGACTTGAACCTGGTGTTCTTCGAGGTCAAACCTGTGCTTTCCTCATAATTCCCTTGGTAAGCAAAGCTGTGTTGCTGCGGCTTGACAGTTTCTGATTGGTTTCCTTTGAGTGCGTCGGTCGTCTCTTGGCTGGAACAGCGATCTTTGGGGGGAGAAAAGAAACATGTATGGTGTCAGGGGCAGGGGATCCACAGTCAGCTAGATGCTGGTTCGACTGTGGCCACTGCCTTCACTTCTCTGAGCCTCTCAACTACCAGGGCAGCAGAGAGAGCTCCTTCCTAGGCTAGCCTGGCTCAGCGTATCTGCTGGGTCTCCGCACAGTCGCTGCGGGGAAATTAATCACGGATCCGCGCTGTTTTCTCGAGGGCCCAGGCCGGGCAGGAGCAGATGCCGCTTTCACAGACTTTCCAGCCCCGTCCCCTCCGGGCGCGGGGACCACTGAGCTCAGAGAAGCTCCCTGAGCAGCGGACGGTGCAGAAGGAAAGGTGAACACACGCTTTCCAAAAGCGGTCGTCCTGTGTGCCGACCAGAGAGCTTTTATTCACTGTCCCAGTGGAAGGAAGTAGAGATGCAAATTAACCCCCAATTTATATCTGCCTTGGGGATGAATTATGTGACACTGGTGGTTGGGTAGCAGGTTTTATTCCAGGATTATTTTCCGCTCCGACGATTATTAGGATTTATAGCGCGTCCCGCGAGGGCACTTCAGCTCACAGGCTGGGAAGCCAGCCTGGAGGCCTGAGAATTTCCTGGTTGGGAGCTATGGTTCAGCGCGTACCGAAACTGGAAAGGCAACTTTTGGTTTTCACTGGGACGTGGGAGAAGGTTTTGCTGACTTTCAACAAAAGCCCGGAGAGTGTAACACCCTCTCCTCACTGTGGGGTTTGAGATGGCCGCACAATGACCCCCACGGCGGGCAACCCGAAAGGGCCCCGCCGGCGGCGTTATTAGTGAGCAGATCATCATGGCCAGTCCTTCACAGCCTGGCCTGGAATATCAGCCCGTTGTTTGTCAGACTCCTAGTGAAACAACAAAACTGCACTGGTGGTTTGCCAATAGTCAAATCCCACGTCGCCGGTGAGCTTGCAAAGTCCTCCAGCAGGGGGCGCGCCCGGCCCAGCTCTGGGTTCTGAAAGGCTGCCCGGCGGCGGTCAGGCCTGCAGGCCCGCCTCGCTGCAGCCCAGGTTCCCCCACAAGGTGGGCAGGCTGGGGAGGGCATTCACGGCTTATCAGCAGACAGAGCCTGGGACACTCACTCTACCCCGTCTCCCCCACTCGTCTGCAAGCTGCAGGTGATGGTGGCCCTGCTCGGCGGGGTGCTGGTGGACAATGAATGAGGACCTATGGGGTGCTGGCATGTACTGGTGGCGGCTCTGATGATCTCTCTTCTGAGGAACATTCTTAGTAACAAGCTTCTCCTTTCCAAGAAAACACGCCTTGTCACCTTTCTAGACTCTGGCAAGGAAAAAAAAAAATCCAATCTCAACAGAAACCCACTAGGAGACTGCCCTTCCAGGGGCTGATTGCCTTACTGGCTTAGAATGAGAACCAGTTAGTGAAGCCTCAAGGTTCTGTCTTTGGTACTAATTACACTTATGGCCACTCAACTGGTAGGTTAAAAAAAAATCAGCCCCAGGCGTGACCAGAGGTCTAGGACATTTCTGGAGCCTAAATGGGCCAGAAGCCAGAAAGTAAGATGTTCAGGTCCTAAACCATCTTTGGGGAACTTAAACACTTGAAGTTAATCTGGACTCTTTACCGGAAGCTGAGCAGAGCTTGGGAATGCTTCCGTAGTAGATGATTCTTCATGGGTACAATGTGTGTTCTGTGTCCCTCCTTTTCTTCTGCAATACTTGAATTCTCAGTCCAGGGTCCAGGTTCCCAGTACCTGGGACCTTCATTAGAGAAGCACCAGGCACCTGCTAGATGTCCATTAGCACAGGCATCAAAGAAAGAGCTAACTGATTTTCTTCTCTTAAGCAGCTTGGGAAGTTGGGAAGATAAAATGATCAGTTTCACTAAATAGGTAATCTTTCAAAGACCCCAAAGATTATCCCAAAGCCATAGGTGTGATTATTTTTCAAAAGAACCAAGGTTTTCAGAGTGAAGAGTATCTTGTGGAGATTTGAAATGCTTCACCTGATGAGGGCAAACAGCACCACGTCCACCTTGGGAATACTCTCTGGTAAGAGTCAGGCTGAAATCCTTCCTTCCTGCCTCAGTTTACAGCACCTTCTCCCCTGTGGGTAGTCCTCTCACCTAAGGTCCCAGAAGGAGCATCACAGGTGGGCTTTCTCACACAGCTGGCTCAGCTGAGGTGCGCACGGCCCTTCTGCTGACATTGGTGCCTGACTCTCCAGGTCGCCCCTTTCCCAAGGAGTCATGGCTCCTAACACAGACCGTGTGCACTGAGACCATTACCAATGCTGGAAGAGCAGCTGACAGCTACAGTCACAGGCAGCGGCGGTGGTTGGGGGTTGGAAGGCTGGGCGTGGGGTGGTGGGGTCCTGAGCACCGCCCACTGGGCTCACGGCCCCTGGTTCCTCTGATGAGGCTGCTCAGTGTGGCCAGACGGGCTTCCTCTTCTGGAGGAAGGCCTTGACCCCCTTCTGGCCATCCGGCAGGCCCAGGTTGTTCACCATGGTCTGGGAGGTGAGGTGGTAGGCAGTCCTGATGTCCTGGGCCAGCTGCCAGTAGAAGGTGGCCTTGCCCAGCGACAGCACCGGCCGGCTCAGTGAGGCCACCTTCCTCCCGCCGCTCCTCCGGCACCACCCTGCTCAGCAGCCGGTGGAGTAGGGCCTCTTGGGCAGAGATAGGCTCCCCAGTGAAAAGCATCTCCAAGGCCACCTGCGGGAGGAGATGGGGCTGTTACTAAGTCGTCCTGCAACCTGGGCCCCACCTGCTCCCGTTCACTCTCCTGACAGCCTCGGCCCAGTTACCTCCTCCTCAGACACTATGTCGCCCATCACCTCTAAGGTCCTCCATCCCCAGACTCTGGCAGGGATGGCATCTGCAAGTGCCCAGGAGAGGGGGACCCTCCTCGTCTCCTTCCGGTCACATGTCACTGCAAATCACACCCCAGCACCATTCCTCTTTCAGGCTGCATTTTCCTTCTTTGCACTTTCATCACGTACTATAGATTTTACATTTGTTTATTGTATTATCTCCTTTGTTGGCATGTGAACCTCTCTAGGTCAGAGACTTCTTTTTTTAACTGCTCTGTTTATTTCTGTATCACCAGCACCTGAAGATGTACCTTGTACATAGTAGGCAGCTTATAGGATATTTATTGGTGAGTGTTGTTTTTGCCCCCCCGACTGTGCCAGGTCTTAGCTGCGGCACACTGGGTTTAGTTCCCTGACCAGGAATCTGATCCGGGCCCCTGTATTGGGAGCTTGAAGTCTTAACCACTGGACCACCAGGGAAGTCTCTTGGTGAGTGAATTAAGGAATAGATGGGTAGAGGCGATGCTACAGACCTTCAGAGGCCAGGCCAGAAGCAGACACAGCTTCTGCTGAGGCCCCATTCCCCATACTCTCTGGTGATTTGCACACGGGCTGGGTAGCTAGGCTGTCACCTAACGCTCTCCAGCTTGCAGGTTCTGATTAACCAAACGGTGAGAACTCAGATTCCCCAGATACACAGAGCCCCTGTGGATAAACAGGGGGAAGCGAGCGTTCCTGCAGGGAGACGTGGCTGGTCTGGGAAGCGGGAGCTCTGGTCTTTCACCGTGCTCTTGGGGCCCACGGTACCCACTACTGGAGGGGCTGGGCGAGGCCAGCTCTGGGGGAGGGAGCAGCCGCACCAGGAAGGTTGTTTATAAGGTGCAATGAAGATGCATGTTGAAGTCACCCCGGGGGCGGGGACACTTTGCATGTGGGGGAAATGATTCGCGCCCAGGTTCAGCCTGTTCGGTTCAGTCCGGTTGGCACACGAGAGCTCCTCGCCACGGTTGCTGGTCCAGTGGACAAAAGGCTGCAGCCACCTCACAGCTGGGCAGTTCCCGACGATGACCAGCAGAGGGCACTGGCGACACACGCCTGCTGCTGCTGCAGCCGGCATGAAAAGGGCGGAGCTTCCGGGCGGGGCCGGTGTGCAAAGGCACCCGCTAGGTTTGCGAAGGTTTTGCGGTTTTGCTTCCCGGCGGATGTGCACGGGGGTGCGGCCCTGTCACCCGTACAGTCGGTGGCCGCTGTACCAATATGTCCCCGAGGGGTGCAGGCAAGCATCGACCAGGCAGGTGTGTTTTGGTTCGGTTTAGATTTCTGTGACTCCCTGGTTTTCCTCTTAGAGAGGCCACGCCTCAGGTGAGGTTTAAGCCGCTTGGTTCTGGGAACTGGGTTCCCTGGGAATTAAAGGCCTGTTTTGTCGCATTTTCCCCCCTTCGTTCTTCTGAAAAACTAATTTAAAGGTTGACACATATGATCAACTTGTAAGTTTCTAGGACTCAATTTCAAACCTTGATTTTAAAAGTTTGTTTTGAGAAAGAATAGATTCTCAGCTTGGAGAAGGAAAGGGCAACCCACTCTAGTATTCTTGCCTTGAGAAGTCCCATGGACAGAGGAGCCTGGCAGGCTACAGCCCATGGAGTCCGCAAAAGAGTCTGTTATGATTGAATAAACAACAGCAGCAGATTCTTATCTGGACATAAGGGCTGATCTAAAGGTTTCAAAGGCCTCAACACAGAATCTTCCAGAATGTCAGGGGTTGGAACTGAGCAGTGGCAGGTTGGTCAAGCAGAGAGCCACCACCTTTAATGTGCAAAAGGCCTGGAGATGAGAGTTGATTTGCAATTATAACAATTATAAAACTGTTCATAAGCTCCAACAATATCTTTGTGATGTGTTTTAAGATCCTGGCGCTAAATAGGGACTTAAGTATTTATTGAATGTATAACATTTAAGGTAAATGTGTATCCTGGTGGGATCTAGACACCCCCTGACTGAGGACACTGGAGCAAGCTGTTGTGTTCTGAGGGTCACCTTCTCTCACCTGGAGCCCACGTCCAGCTGGTTTTCATGGTGTGGGTGTTTGTAGGTACCTGTGATCAGAATTTTCTCACAAACATATTTCTGTAAAAGTTCATGAGGAGGCACACGGAAGGCAGGCATGCGCCCCTGAACTTGGACCCTCGGCCTGATTTCCCTTGGGTCTCATTTCTTTTGTGCCTCAGGCTACGAGCAACTGCTGGTTTTCCTAGTTGGTGCTAAAATGGACAATATATTCTAGAAAGCAGTTTAGGTTCCCCACCTGCTATGAATCTGCATGTATGAATGCTAAGTCAATTCAGTCATGTCTGAATTATGCAATCCTATGGACTGTAGCCCGCCAGGCTCCTCTGTCCATGGGATTCTCCAGGAAAGAATACTGGAGTGGGTTGCCGTGCCCTCCTCTAGGTGATTTTTCCTGACCCAAGGATCAAACCCACATCTCTTAGATCTCCTGCATTGGCAGGCAGATTCTTTACCACTAGTGCCACCTGGGAAGCCCTATGAATCTGACCCTCCTTTAAAAACAGATTTTCAATTGAGAATGAGGATGTATTTTTCTAGAATGAGGAAACCACCAGTTTTTACTTGAGATGTTCAGTAAACACTCTCCTACAATGTTATAGGAAGGAGGAAAGCTTTGTGAAGAAAGTGGACTTCACCCAGGGCAACGATGGCAGGAGAGCTCTGGGCACGTTCAACACACCGCGTGCAGGACGCCCCTGCAGCCACTGCGAAAGAGACGCACTCAGTGTATCAGCTCCTTTCCAAGCATTCTGGAGCGAGACAGACTGTCAGCAAACAGAAAGCCAGCGACACAGTGTCCTAGCCTCTTACACTAGCAAATGTCACCATGCTGTTACGGCTCATGGGCGGCCTTTCTGTGCAATGAAACTGTGTCTCAGTTGCATTTCACATGAGCGCAAAAGATGTTTGCCTTTATGAAGACAAAGCAAATCTGGAAACTTAACCAGCTGTACTGAGGGGCAGGCAAGAGTGAAAAACAGTGATTTACAAACAGACAGCTACAGGGATAACGTCCTGACACAGGATGTTAGTACATTAGCCAGCGCTGCTTTGGGCAGAATGTCCTGACTCACACTGTACTTTCAACAAGAAAGTTCTGGAGCTGACCCTCACAGGCACTCAAGGATCACAGCTGCGGGAGGGGCAGGGGGAGGGCACAGGGAGTCGTTACCTTTCTCGGCACTGCTCTCCCCAAGGCCGCTGCGGGGGTGGAACAGAAGAGCCCTCTGTTCACACCTGGCATGGCAAAGGAGGACGTGTCACTCGCCACGGCAATGTCACAGCTGGCAACCAGCTGACACCCAGCCGCGGTGGCCAGGCCATTCACCATGGTGATGATGGGGACTGGATGGTTCTGGATCAGCATCATGACCTGAGAAGCAAACACACCTGCTTCACTTCCCTCCAAGAGTGAGGTGGACGTCAAAGCTTGTCATTTTATGTGATTTTACTGTTCAGAGCCCTTTTCAAATCCATAAGTGTATCAGATTCTATGGCCAAGGAGAATAAGTTGCATGAAATCTCAACTGTGAATCAGACTGTATGATTTGGTCTCCTTGAGATCCAGAAGGAAGGATCCAGGACTCCCAGGCTCACCAGGCAAGTGACTCCCTAAGGCCATCAGGCCCAAGAGTGGGGTTGTGGGGTCTGAGCCGTCTCTGTCTGACTCCAGGCCCCTAGTCTGACCCAGAGCATGACTTCAGTGAGGGCGCTGTCCTCTGGACCACTCCGCTCACAAACCCCTAGAGAAGAGGGTTGAGTGACTGTGGGAAACAAGCTGCTCTGTTCCAGCGATGGTGGTGTGGAGCTCTCATGTTAAAAGCTGGGACACAGCTTCCTTACTGATTACTTCTCCAGTTGCCACCGTGATTCTCACTTCTACTAAGATGGGGGGAACACCCTGCTGTCATCAAAGTAAAATTCCAAAGTGCACAGAAAGGGGAGCCAGAAACTGGCTTGCGTGAGACCTCTGCCCTCAAATCTCCCGAATTTTAACTCATTTTTGCAGCTTATGAAATAACTTGGCTAATTTCTCCATCTTTTCCCTGACATGCTTAACCGATTGTGTTGCTATGATAACTTCGGTGTCAAAATGTTTGCCCTTAGACCCTGGCTGGAGGAAGAGGAGGAGGGACTCTGGGTTGGCTTCCCAGCAGCCACTCCAAGGAAAATGACCTTCATGGGTTCCCAGGTTTTGCCTAAGGAACTCACCTTTTGTGTTCATGAACATTTGGCACTTGTCAGCTTTATTCTAAAATGACCAATTGTGCATTTAGGGATATGATATCATATTCTTGACTTCAAGGGGGTCACCTTTTCAGATTCTGGTAAATGCTAATGGCCCTCCTCCAGAGGAATGCACATATATACCCCCACCCCAAACTGCTGGTGGGTTTAGGGAGTTTGTGCCTATAGGTGAGGGTGGAGATGGTGGGGACTATGGTAGCCAGGAGGCTGCATAAAAGCTTCTGAGGTCTGAGGTCTGAGGTTGGACTGCAAAGACAGAGAAGGCTGTTTCAGCTCTGAGTGTCATCTGTGGCCTGATCAACTGAGGGTGTGAAAAGTCCGTTGGCTATAACTTGGGCAGCACAGTCTGTCTCCCGCCTTTTGTCTATGAAGGCCTGAGATTTCACATGAGCTGGTTGAGGGATACTTAGGCAATCCAGTAGATCACTAACATTAAAAATATCCTACCCTGATCAAGTGTTTCTTCTTCTCATTTTGCCCCATTCTTGATGTGTAAGTAATTAACCCTCGTGAGGCACTTGTGTTCAGTGACAAATCTACTGTAAGATTCAGATGCCAAGCCAGTCCATGGATCTTCCTTCCTTTCCACCATCCCCTCTTCTTGTGCATGCTTAGTCACTCAGTCGTGTCCGACTCTTTGCGACCCCATGGACTGTAGCCCACCAGTCTTCTCTGTCCATGGGGATTCTCCAGGCAAGAATACTGCAGTGGGTTGCCATGCCCTCCTCCAGGGGATCTTCCCGACCCAGGGTTTGAGCCCAGGACCCCCACATTGCAGGTGGATTCTTTACCATCTGAGCCACCGGGGAAGCCCTCACCTCTTCTCATGCAGGAACAAAATGAGGAAGTATTGGCCTCATTCTGCTCCAATATGCCTGCTGGTTACACCTGCAAACTGAAATCTTGCACAAGTTCATGGTGCTCAGACTTATCAGGATGATTTGATTTTCTTAGACAAAGTCTTAAAGAAGTCAGTACACTTAAACCTCTCTTTTACTACGTCAGGACAAGGTCCTGTCTGTGTCTTTTTCAGTGATCTGCGGGCATCCATATGGTAGAAGCTTCCAAGAAACCTGGCCTTTGTCCTCTAAAGAAGCTTGGCTCCCCTGTGGCCCTTTGCTGACTGTTTAAGATCTCAGTTCATGAAAGTATCACAGCAAAGTGACAAAAGCAGGCCATTTAGGGGAAGATGGAAGGGCTCTGCTGGTTCTCTTTGCTGATTTTCTATTTGGCCAAACATATCAGTAGGAAATAACTTTTAAAAGCACCAAGTCCTATCAAACAAACGGCAGAATGTCCCATAAACATCATTAATGTGAAACCAGGTCTTGGCTCTGACTTGCTTCTATCTCTATGAAGTCAAGTCAATCACTTTTCAGCTTTGTCCCTCCACAAGATGAAAACTATGATCTCCTTAGGGGGTTCTGGAAGGGCGAGGAAAACAAGAACGTATCTCAATCACCTTCCCCTTCCCCTTTCTGATGCTCACTGCTGTCTGGTCTACATTGAAGGTCTCCTCAAGTATTTGTTGCATCATTAATGACCAAAGAAATGAATGAATAAGTCAATGTATGAAGGATAAAATTAGGTGAAGTAATACTAGGGTTATGAAACTGCTTTATACATCTTCTTTCTCAACTCTATTTCCAGTTTTCAGGTCGGCTGGAAATTCTCTGTTCCTTCTGTTTCCCTCAGTATCTTGCAAGTATGCATATAGCAGGTGCTCCGGAGATGCTCATTAAATGGACAGTATGTTACTTAAGGTGGATTCTATATTTTTGATTATCCGGTTGATCTGATACATGATAAGTCATCCCCAATTTTGTGCTTCCTCCTATAGGTTGTTGATGTTGTTTAGTCACTAAGTTGTGTCCGACTCTTTGCAACCCCGTGGACTGTAGCCTGTCAGGCTCCTCTATCCATGGGATTTTCCAGGCAAGACTACTGGAATGGGTTGCCATTTCCTTCTCCAGGGCATCTTCCCCACCCAGGGTTTGAACCTGCATCTCTTGCATTGGCAGGCAGATTCTTTACCACTGAGCCACCAGGGAACCCTCTTCTTCCTCTATATCTGTTGTCAATTTCCCTTCTTAATGTGGTTAAAGAGACAGAAAAGGGAGAAGAAGAAAAATGAAGAGGTTGATTTTCCTACTTGGAGGCAGGGATTATAAAGGTTAATTGAAAGAAGGGTTTGGAAATAATTTTTTAAATCATTATTGTTATTAATGCTCTCTTTCCCATTGACAGAGTTGTTTTAGTCTAAAACTTTAAACATTTTAATAATCTTAGGTCCTTCTTTTCTAAAAAGCTACAGTTCCACTCTTTACTTCTTACTTAAGATGTGGATACCAAGATGTACCCCATAAGGCAGGAATGGCAAATCTTGGTAGCAGTGTGTGTTTTCCTTTCTTTGGCCCATTGCATGATCAAATGCTAACCACAGTCACTTCTGAAAAGTTGAAACCAAATATTTGCTTGGATGAAGGGTTCACCAGTGACCACAGAGGTTTCAGTAGTTCTGCAGTGGTGACGTATCATAGCTTAAATACTTATCTGTACACTAGAAGCTTAATTCAGTATTTCATACAGTTATCACTCTCAGGCTTGCAGTGTTGACCATCACCCTGGCTTACCTCAGAACAAGTTCAAAATACTTCTGCATGACAATCTGGGCCTTGTTCATCCGTCAGTTCCTTTAAATCATGTCCAGAAGAAAATACAGGCCCTTCAGCTGCAACGTTTCCAGTTGAGAAAAGAAAAGACAAAGATGTAAACAGCCAGAGCTGAGACAGTCACTTACCTGTCTACTGAATAACTTCAGGGAGTGATCGAACTGATGCTCTGGACACTTAGAGAAAGCTGTTTCTTTTTTTTTTTCTATTTCTTTCACTATGGAAACAGCCTTAGAGAAAGTTAGTGGCCTGATTTTGATAAGAATAATTCCAGTTAGCTGGAAGAGCTATAGCCAGTATTTTATGATGACAGCCCAGGGTGAGGCTCTAAAAAGGTCCCTGGTGGAGACCAGTGACAATATGCATTGTGAAAAGGAGAAGGCTCAGTAACCAACTATCTTCAGAGTTGTCCCCTGGGTCTCAGCTTTTTTTTTGAGACTTGGCCTGGCCTGAGTGTATCAACTCACCCAGGGCCACGTCAATCCACCAGAGCCTTTGGCAGCATCCCTGTCTATTTAGTCTACCCCAAAGGCTGGAATTAGGAAGGTCAGGGCATGAAGAGAATCCCTTTATTGTAAAAACAAGGGACCCGAGGAGGTGGTTTAGTTGTCATTGTTGTCATTAACAACAACAGCAAAATGTGATCCCATGACAAGCTGGTAACATTTTACATTTCCTCTGATCACGGCAGTTGTGACAGGAGTACTGTTCCTTTTAAGCAAGCCAAGGAACAGTGTCATTTGGAAGTGACCTGCCTTCGATGTATCCAGGTTACAGCAGTCAGAGGACTGCTGATCTCTACCAGCTGTATTTCTTTTTTCTTCACCACATAAAACAGTTGAAAATGTATATTCAACTACTGATAAAAGGTCACATTCTCCAGAAACACTGATCCTTAATTAAAGAAATACAAAAGCATCACAGAGCAGTTTCCATATTACTTGTCTGCGACTACTTTAAAATGCTGATGTTGCTATTATTTATACCATCATCATCATCACCAGCTCATCTGCTAAAAATTCTTACTGGAAAAAAGAGCAAGGAAAGAACCGGGCAATATCTGGCACACATTCTGGCACCACTGAAGAAGGCTGCACACCTCAGCTGAGAGCCTGGTAAGAGTCGGAAGACAAACCCATCGTACGTCCTAACAGCCTGGTCCTAGCCAACCAGGCACTCTACCAAAAGGACTGGCGATTAAACCCATCGCATAGAGCCCACAAGGACATCAGTTCTCAGCGTTGCCTCGTGTGGCAATGTTCAGTATCCACCAAAAATGGAAACACATGCTTTTACTGCACGGTAATGTTTGCTATAATTTCCATAGCAGACAGTGTCAGGACCAAGGTTCCTGCCATGTACAGTTTAAGGAGCTTCAAAATAATGCCCTAGTTAACAAAATTTGAGACACCTCTTCTGGGTTCTGCAGAATGCTGAGGATGGACATTTC